CGGAGGTCAAAGGGCTCTGCTGAGAGATATGTCAGCATCAAACTTCTGGGGCAGGGACACAAATAACTGGGATTGCAGACCAGAAAATTACCATGGAAAAATGGACTAACTACCATGTGATTACAAAAGGGCCCATTAGTTCTGTGTGTGTCCAGGACTCAAAGTGTGTCCTTTGAGGGAGAGCATGAGGTCACGCTCCCAAAACTTGAAGCAAAAGGGGCTGTGTAAGTGTGTGCCTGGTGCCCTCTGTGTGGAGATTGGGTTGCTCTCCTCCTTTTTCCTAAGGCACAAACTCTTCTGGTGAAAGAGGGAAGCTCAGAGTTGTCAGTGTTGGGTGATAGCAGCTCCCACTGGGCTTAAATTTGCCAGCCCCCTCACTGCTGCTTTAGCAGCCTGTGGGGGTACAGTTTGGGGGAATGAACACCCCTCCAGCCCTCCCAGGGCTCAGCAGTTTGTTCCTGGGTTGCTCCTGCCTCATCCATGGGCCAGGGGCTGGATTTACAGTCTCAGGGGTCTGTGCCACCCGTGGTCTTTGCTCTGACCTCTCATACATCAGGACTGTCCTCTCCACCCCAAGGCCGGTCCTGAGACTCTGCTGGCCCCGTGACTGCCACAGCTTTCCAGATAAAGCTGGGAATGATGAAGCTGTGGGAAAGAAGTCCTGGAGCTGCCTTGGAGCCACGGTGTGCTGGAGCAGGAGGAGCTGAAGCTGGCTGTGCCTTGCTGAGGGGTCAGATGTCCCGTTACACAGCCCCTGTGCTTTAGTTGGAAACAACAAGTTCCAGTTTCACTTCCCGTTTTCCCAGCCCTGTGGACGGGCAATGCAAAGTGGACACAGTAAAGCCATAAGGGCTTCTGCCTCCTCATCTCTTTCTCTGTTACAGAAGGGGAAATAATTCTTCCTTCACTCATCACTAGTGATGAGAACTCAGAAGTTGTGTGTCAGTGCTTTCAGTGCTGAGGTGCCCCATGTGTGTGTTCTCTGTGTGCCCTGACATCCTTCCACCAGCACTAGTTTGCTCTTCTCTTTGCCAGTTCCAGGTCGTTGGGGTAAATAAGTGCTTTATGATCTGCTTTCCCTGTTTCACTCCTGGTGATCATTATTCCCTAAGGATTCCAGCAGTGCAAACCTGTGAAATCCCATGTGCTTGCTCAGGCAGGGCTGGTGGACAGAGGACTTCTACCTCAAAATGAGGTGGTGATGACCAGCAGAAAAGTTCCTGTGCAATTCAGGGATCTGCAGTGGAAGGAAATGCAGATTCCAGGCAGGTATTCACAGGATTTTGGTGAGTGTGCTCCTGCCTTTGCCTTGGCTTTGCCTGTGGGGACACTGGTGAGGGTGCCCTGAGCCTTGGTGCGTGTGGTGGGTGTTCTGCAGGGGTTTTGGAGGACTGTCCAGCCTCAGGGCTCTGGGGACAGGGTAGGTACGTGGGGTGACAGTGCTGCAGCCTGTGGTCTGTGGCACTGCCAGCCTCCAGCAGGATTCCCTGGCTGGAGAGGTTTGGATGCTCCTCCACCACTGCTGACCTTTGCAAGCCTCATCTCTGCTGAGGACGTGCCCGGGGGTCCCTCTGGGCACAGCCAACCCATCCCAGAGCCCCAGATCCCACCTCTGCAGGGAATGGTGAGTAACTGGGACGTGCAGGTGGTGTTACTGGGCCGGCTGTGCCGCAGGATCCCGGGAATGGGGGGAGTCAGAACCACCTGTTGGAGTTTCAGCCCTTTTTAACAGCGTCCCCCTCTTTTTCCTTGCTCCTCACTTCCCGGTATTCCCTTTACAACCAGCCCATTGTGCTGTGGGCTAGGGCAGCTGGGTGGAGTGTTTCAGGCTCAAGTGTAATTTCAGTGCCTTTAAAAGCCTTTGGAGGGCTCTTTTTTTTTTTTTTTCCCCCTGAAGAGGACAGCAACGCCAACAAGGGATAATTTGATGGATTACTCTGCGGGGCTGAGGGGCTCTCCTTAATCCCCTTTGTGGGGCTGTTTGACGAGACGAGGAGCAGAAGCCCCCAGCCCCAGGCAGAGAAAAGGCAGCTCAGCAGGGTGGGTTTTACACGCTGACATATAAATACGGGCCCTGGTCATGTGGTGCCGGATATAATCTGTGCCCGTTACCACGCCGTGGAGAAGGGGGCACCTGGAGGGGGCTTATTTTTTTTTTTCCCCCCCTTTCCAGTTCAATTTACATTTTTATTCTTCTGCTAAAAATAATAAACGGAGAAGAAAGGCCGGGGTGGGGGAGAGGTTGATCTGGATCAAATGCCGGGGTGACGGGCACGGTATTTAAACGCCAGAAATGAGCTGCAGTGAAAAGCAGAAGCAGATCATCTCATTTCCCCTCCCGCTCCAAAACGGGGGCTCCTCTCGTGAATAAAAGCAAGAGCTCGGGCCGTGCAGCAGCAAAACAAAGCTGTGGCTCTGATGGAGAGCCAGCCAACCTTGTCTGGAGGTCTTGAGCTGTTTGCAGCAGGCCTGACGCCGGCTCAGGAAAGCGTGACCGGAGGGAGCGAGGCTGTTGGGGCGGGTGCATTGTGTGTGTTTTGGAGTTTGTGAGGCCTCTGGGTGCTTAATGGAGTGTGGTGAGGAGATGCCAGCCCTGAGCAGGTAAAATTCTGGGAGACCACCCTGTGTGCCAGGCACAAGTCCCGTTGTGGCTCCTCCAGCCCAGTGTGGAGATCCCTCTGCAGTGAGGTGTTTGTTGGGGCGCTCGGTCCTTCCCCACATCAGTGCAGTTCTTTTGGAGTGTCTGTGATGGAAACAGGGCTGAGCTACAGACCAGCAAGGTGAGGGTCAGCCTGTCAGCCTTGGACCTTGCTTGCTGCAGAAATCCGGGTGCCCAGCTCTAATCTGTGCCCCATCGTTGTCCATGCTCCTCCCATGGATCTCCCAGGCAGGCTGAAGCCTGGTGCTGCTGCCTGCCAAGCACAGGGGAGTTAATGACACCCTCTGGCACCACTGTGGGCTCTGGGCTCATGTCTGTCCCTCTGAGAGCTCCGAAAATGTCAGCGTGGCCTCCACTGAGTCAGTGACCCCGTTAGTCAGACAGGCGGTTCCTGTTTGTAACGGGAGGGGAGGAGGAGGAGGAGGAGGAGGAGGAGGAGGAGAAGGACTTGCTGGAACTGGCCACTCTTTGCTGCTGTATCTTTCCTGTGGTCAAACAGTCAGGCATGGGAGCTAAAGCAGCCAAAGGCTGGGAGAAACCTCCTGGCAGGAGCAATTCCTTTGCCAGAGGAAGAGGCAGGTTGTGGGACAGGACGTCGGTGGAGTCTGGGGCTGCTCTGCTGTCTGTGTGATGTTCGTGTTGTGGGGTGAGGATAAAGCATCCCTAGAGCTGTTGGCACGTGGGATAGCAGAGGTGTGAAGGGGAAGGGGGACAGAGCCTGGAGAGCATCCTCTCTGTGCTGGCAGTTCCCACATGGAGATGGCAGTGAGCAGGCCAGGGATCCGTCTGTGCCTCGGGAGTGGGGGGAGCACAAAAGGCTCTGAAGAGCTCTGGCTTTTGGAGAGCCCTGAGAGCAGGATGATCCTGCTGTGGGTGCTGCAATGAAGAGGTTGCAGCGAGGCAGGAAAGAACCAACCCCCAGTTGGGACAAATTCAAGCATCTCCCTTTGAACCAAACCGTGCAGGAGTCGGAGCTGTCATTGGGAACCCCCCCTCCCCTGTAGCATCTCCCATTTGTCCTGGATTAATATATCCTGGCTGCTGGACACTGCCCTGTGGGGTGGGGGAGGGCATTTCAAATGGACTGGGGTGCCCAGGTCTGCCTTGTTGTTCTCCTCTGGGGGGATTTCCACCCGCTGCTGCTCTTCCCCTAAGCCGGGCTGGTATAATGGAGCTCAAAGGAAACGCAGAGTTAATTCAGAGACTAAATAAATGCCCGTTCTCCCATCCCTGCTTTATGACCACTCCCCTCTCCCCACGCTGTGAATGAGGGTCAAGGAGATTTGGGAGGGGAGGGGGAAGGGGAGAGGGTCAGGAGAGGTCAGGTGAGTTTTCCATTGCATCCCGCCCGGCCCTGCCAGAGCTATTCTCCATGGTGGATTTTACATTCAGCGGCCCTGAATGGACACTGATAGCTGTGAAAGGCTCTGGCACCGCATGAACAGCCCTTCCCTAAGCACTCCCCCTTGTGCTCTCTCCCATCCTTTCTTCCAGAGGGCTTCCAGGGAGCGGGGAATTAATAACGTTCATAAAGAGCCCCTCGGAAGGTTGGAAATGTGATTTTGGGGTTAGGGATGGAAACCCAGTGGCTTGCAGGACCCTCTGCCCTCCTCTCTCTCTCTCTCTGCTGCCCCTTGGGAATGGGTTTGTGCATCAAACCTGCCGTGCCATGGGAAGGGAAGGTGAGGATCCATCCATGTCACCTGGGAACTGCTGAACAGGAGCAGCCCCTGCCTGAGTTAAAGCTTTTCCTTTCCCAAGGCAAAGGCTTTCGTGGGGTAATATTTTTTTCTGTATAAGACAGACATGACAGGTCAAAAAAAGTTGATAATAGAATCATGGAATGGTTTGGGTTGGAAGGGACCTTAAAGCTCATCTCATTCCACCCCCTGCCATGGGCAGGGACACCTTCCACTAGCCCAGGTTGCTCCAAGCCCTGTCAAACCTGGCCTTGGACACTTCCAGGGATCCAGGGGCAGCCACAGCTTCTCTGGGCAACCTGTGCCAGGGCCTCCCCACCCTCACCTTGGATCTAAATCTCTGTTGTCTGCTCACTGCTGGGGTTGAACTATTGAGCAGGTGCATGACTGGTATAAATCAAAGCCTGCAACCACATTTAATATCATTTCTTGTCCCTTTTTGCACCCATGTGAGAGACTGGGAGGATTATGGAGTAGCAGGATATGGATTCTTCTAGGAATAAATGAGTTTTTCTCTGCCATGTAAATACACCCAAATTTTATTTTTGGAAAATGTTCTTCCCTCAATCTTCATTCCAAGCACTAATGAGATGGGATGACTTGTAAGATCCCGGGTTGGAAAGATTTGAGGAGATTGGGAGGGGGAGGGACTACAAGAAGTCTTTGCTTATGTGTGTCCATGGGTGCCCTGCACATTATCCACCTTCTCCAGGTGTCTTGGGGTTTGTTCCTCCTCAAAGCAGGAGATGTGATCCTGAGTTCATGAGTGAGGGCACACAGAGGAAGCGGGAAGTGAACTTGAACTGGTGATGGTGTTGTTCCATGGCAGGGAGTCCGTGCCTCTGCCATCACCAGGACATCCAGTCCTGTTTCCATGTGTGTCTGTGCTTCTCTCCCACTCACAATCCCTGTTTTCTGGGGTTCCCTGGCTGCCACATCGAGCACAGGGAGGTGTTTGTCAAAACTCTTTCTGTAGTAAGTGAACAGAGCAGGGGAAATGTGAGAATCCAGTCTGTGCCCCACTGCCTTTAGAGAAAGAGTCTCTTGGGAAGCTGCTCTCCTTGGCTTCATCCCTGCTCCTCATCCTCACTCCCTGTGGGTGCTGCTGGCTGAGTTGCCTGCCTGCCTTCTTCCCTGTGCTCCTGAGTGCTTGGGCAGGAGAGGCCAGGGCTCCGAGGGGTGCAGTCCTTTCTGCTTTGGTTCTTTTTTGGTTGCCACTGCTGTCCCTGTGGGTGACAGGGAGCCCTCTCCTGCCTTTGTCCAGCAATGCTCTGCTCTGCTCCTGCCCCCAGACCCGCCCTCCTACCTGGCTGCCAGGTGAACCAGCCTCTGGGAGTTGATCTGTTGTTTCTCTGCAGAGAAAGGAAAGGAAAAGTTTGGTTTGCAAGCTGAAAAGTAAAACGGAAACCCTGGGTCTGAAGATGTTTAATTTTCCCTGGGGAGGGAAAGGAAGAGCAGAGCAAGAGCATAAACAGCAGCAGCTGATGTCCCCATGGCACGACAGCTCGGAGAGCAGCTGTGGGAAAGCCCCACATGTGGCTCCCTTCTGCTTCTGTGGGCAGGAAACCTTCCACAGAAGGGCTCCTGTGTCCCTTTTGGGGGGCTGGCTGTTGTCCTTGCCAAGGTGCTTGGCATTGCAAGGACAAACACTGTCCCTGTTGTAGAAGTTTGGGGAAACTGAGGCCAAAGGGCAAGAAGTGCCTGTTGTCATGTGGACCAGACACCCCACATCTGGCTGGGAAAGGTCTCCCCAAAATGCCAAATCCCACTGGGATGGACAAAGTGCTGCCAGCTCACCTGGGAGAAGGTTTTGCCTGATTCCTTCCACACCAGGGCAAAGCTACAGAGCCCCAAAGCCAAACCAGTCCTCCCGCATATTCCACGGGATAAATTGTCCTGGAAGGGATTAGATTAGTGGATTAAGGGAAGTGCCTTGCAGCTGGGACTGTTACCTGCAAAGCTGTGGGGAACATCTTGCTGGCATTAAAAAGACAATAATAATAATAATAGTAATGCCACGTCCTAAATCTCTGCTGGGTGTTGTGAAACAGCAGATCGGTGAGGGAAGGTTTTAACACCAGGATGGGGCTTTGGGCCAAGCTCAGGTGTGAGCCCAGAGCTGGGCTTTGTGTCTGGGCAGGTTTTGGGGCAGCACTGAGCGAGCTGGGGGTTCTCAGGGGTGGTGCTGGCAGGCTGTGTTTGCTCTGGGTGAGGGGCCCGGGCGCAGGAGTGGTTTGGTGCTGAGAACACACCTGTTATCAGCAGGCAGGGAGGGCCCTGAAACCAAAGCTGTGTCTGTCCCAGCTCGGTTCCACCTCTGCTTGCCTGCAAACTACTTAAGTAGCTTTTCCTGAATGCTGCAGTTCCCGGGCTGGGCGCTGCAGGGATCACCTGCCACCGTGGGGAGGAGGTGAGTCCTGGCTCTGTGAGCCTCCCAAATCTTCCTTTTCCATCGCCTGTCCTCACAGATCAGCAGTTCAGGGGATTTTCCGTGTCTGCACTGGCATTTCTTTCCAACTGAGCCAATCCATGTCTGTGTATTCGGTGAACAGAATTAAGAAGTAGGTATTGGGACAAAATGCAGTTTAAACAGAGAAGCTCATCATTTGCTGCTACTGTATCTACAGCTGGGTTGCTGTTGACAGCTTCTCACCTCTGGCTGGTCTTGCTTCTGGGTACACTGGGATTTATTTTCTCGTTAGAAGCCCTCTGAGGGTGTGGAGGGGGAAGAGAGACGGGTCTTTTCCTACCTCCTGATAAGAAATTCAGCCTTTGCCTCCAAACTGAAATTCTCAGGCAGTGGGGATGGGCAGATTCCTGCTGCCTCCTCAGTGCTCGGGATGTCACAGCAGTAAAAAAGGAAGGAAATAATTTTTAATCCCTGTGTGTGTGAGAGACATCTTTTACTCGAGGTTTGGGGTTTCTCTCGAGATAAATCCCCCTCTCTAAGCTCTCCAGACCCCAGACTAGAGCAGCCAGTGGCCGTTACATCTCCCTTTGAGGTCTAACCCGGAGTGGTGGTGGCTCAGTTAATTTTGCCTTGTGACTCTGCTTCCTCCAGCGAGCAGCACCCAGGCTTGTGCTGCTGGAGCTGTAGGGCTGCAGCTTAAATTCCTCCCCCAGGGCTGTGAGCCAGCTGGGCACCCATCCCAGCCGAGACATCCTGTGTCTAACCCACATCTGAGCAAGGTGGTCGCTGCCCCCATCCCTTCCTTGCAGACCCAGAGCACTGAAGTGATGCTCAGCATGGCTGAGGGTTCCTTTGAAGCCATCTCTGGTGATTAAAGGAAAAAACCGGTGCTGTTCCCCCTCTGTTTGCTATTTGACCTTGGGCAAGTCGCTTAAATGTTCGCAGTTGTTAAAAGGAGGGATGTTCCGCGACAGTTGAGGTCTCGGTGAGCGCGTGGAGGGGGAAGGTGAAGGATCCCAGAAGGGAAATAATTGGTACTTATTGCGTGTAATTGGCAGCCTGACAACTCCTGAGCTCTGGGGTGGTGCCTCTCCTCTGCAGCAGCAGGAGGCAGAGCGATGCCTAAACCTCATCCCCACACTGGCAGCTTCACCCAGTCACTCCCCCGTGGGTTATCTGGCTGAGGGGAAGAAAGAAAAGTCACAAAACTGTCCCATCTGTACCTGTCTCTTAACACCTGTGCAGTGATGGGGGTCAAACACATGCTCTGTGAAGTCAGGGGTCACTAATTAGCACCTCATTGGGTGATAATGGGGAGTTTGATCCCTGTCCAGTGTAGCTGTGGCAGGGCCCTGGAATTGTCAAGGTTGGAGAAAACCTTTAAGATCGTCAAATCCAACCATCTCCTGCATTCTGCTCATCCCTCTGACGAGCAGCACTTCCAGCTCTGCCAGGTCTGTCCCTCTCCCTTGGGGGTGAGAAGTCAGAGCACATCAACCCTGAGAATGAGGCAACAGATGGTTTTACTCCTAAATTAGTGTTTGTGAAGGAGCTTAATGTCTTGCTAACCCGTCTGCCTTTCCCAGAATAACCACGGGCCACCTTCCCGAGGTGCTGTTAGCAAAGCAGCAGTTTGGTGGGCTGGGTGTTGGTAACCCTGCAGGATTCCTTTCCTTTGGGACTGACACAGTGACAGGCTCATAACAGGTTACTGAGAGGCATCTGCTGCCTCCTGCTCAGCCCCTGTCCTGGTCTGGTGGCCTCTCCCCTCTGAAGAAGCTGGAGAGAGGGAGCAGGTTACAGGGCAAATAAATGACTCAGTCTAATGAGTAAGGTAATTGCCATTCACTGTTAGATGAGGCTAAAGTGGGTCAGGTTTGTTTGTGAAACTCCATGGAGGCACCATCTGTTCTCTGTGCCCCGTCTCAGGGGCTGGAGATGGGATTTGGGTGAAACTGCTTCCCTGGGAGGCTGTGGAGCAGCACAGGAGATGTCCTGGTCATTAGGCAGGGGTGTGGGTCTCTGGAGGTGACCCTGTGTGGCTGTAGGGAAGTGCCTGCAGCCCTGATCCTCAGAGGGGGCCCTTAATTGATTTCACTGGGAGAGGGGACCCCAAATCCTTTGTCTCTGCTACAACTGGCCAGCTCTAAGATAAGGCTGGACAGGACACTGAGAGGCCATTAGACCTCCCTTAGCCCGAAGGCAGGATTGGATTTTCCCAAACCATGTCTGACAGGTGTGCGTCTCACCTGTCACAAACCCCTGGAGAGAAACTTGGCACCAGTGTGGTTTGTGTCCTTTAACCCTGCCTCTGTCCCAGATCCTCCCACGCCTGCAAGCCCATGGGGATGGGGACTGTCCCTTTCAGGGATGAGGTGTCTGTGATACCTGGTTTCAGCCCTCAACCCTGCTGTGTCTAACAACCTCTCTCTTCTCACAGCCCACAGCATGTGAGCGGCAGGGGAAGCCTGGAGTGGGATCCCTGCCTGCCCACGCCTGGACTCGACACTGCTGGGGCCACATCTCGCAGTAAGAGGAAGAGGAAAAGACAGTTCAGCCACCACTGCTAAAAATGGGAAGCAGCATCTATCCAGCAACCTGGGAAGGGGAGCTCCGGGGGCGTCCCTGGCAGTGCTGCCGCCGGATGGACACAGCCCTGTGCCAGTGAGGGGTCAGGGCAGCGTGGCTCGGGGGGCTGGGGGGGCAGCATGTTCTTCCAGAGCCGCAGGACCCAGCTGCTGCTGGTCAACTCGCTGACCTTCGGGCTGGAGGTGTGCCTGGCTGCAGGGATCACCTACGTGCCACCGCTGCTGCTCGAGGTGGGCGTGGAGGAGAAGTTCATGACCATGGTTTTGGGTAGGCAGCTTTTATCTCCTCTTTGAGGTGCTTGTTTCCCCTTTGAGCCTGGAGGGCAGGGGTGAATGAATACAGGCCTGGTGGTCGCAGGGCTACTCTTCTATCAAGGGCAGCCTTGTGTTTGGAGGAGGGGGCCGTGAGCCACTGAAGCCTCCCAAGTTCTTGAAACATCCCAGGCTTTGTAGAGTGTGTACAAACCAGCGTCCTCCGGATCTGTCTTCTTAACGCCACCTCTTTCTCTTTTCCAGGGATAGGACCAGTCCTTGGCTTGGTTTTTGTCCCTCTGATCGGATCTGCCAGCGACCACTGGCACAGCAGCTACGGCCGGAGGAGACCTTTCATCTGGATGCTTTGCCTGGGAGTCCTGCTGAGCCTCTTCGTGATCCCCCACGCCAGCAGCCTGGCCAGCCTCTTTGCCCTCAACCCTCGCCCCCTGGAGATCGCCTTCCTCATCCTGGGCATCGGGCTGCTGGATTTCTGCGGCCAGGTGTGCTTCACTCCCCTGGAGGCCCTGCTCTCCGACCTCTTCCAGGAGCCGGACAACTGCCGCCAGGCCTTCTCCATGTACGCCTTCATGATCAGCCTGGGGGGCTGCATCGGGTACCTGCTGCCAGCCATCGACTGGGGGGGCAGCTTCCTGGCCCCCTACCTGGGAGGGCAGGAGACCTGCCTCTTCAGCCTCCTCGCCCTCATCTTCCTCGGCTGCGTGCTGGCCACGCTCTTCGTGACGGAGGAGGCGGCCGCCCAGGGGGACGCTCTGGATGGCCCGGCGCTGAAGGACACGTCCCCGAAGCCCTCCCCTGCCCGCTGCTCCTGCCAGCTGTCCCGGGGCTCCTGCCTGCTGCAGGCCAGGCGGGCGCTGCAGGCCCTGAGGAACCTGTGCTCGCTGGTGCCGCGGCTGCACGGCCTCTACTGCCGCATCCCCCGCGTCATCCGCCGCCTCTTCGTGGCCGAGCTCTGCAGCTGGATGGCCCTCATGACTTTCATGCTGTTCTACACCGACTTTGTCGGGGAAGGGCTGTACCACGGCGTGCCCAGGGCCAAGCCGGGCACGGATGCCAGGCGGCACTACGATGAAGGTGAGGCGGGAACCGGCTGCTCTGAGGCTGCGGCGCCCGTTCTCCCCCTGGGCAGGAGTGTTTTCTGGGAGCTCAGCTCTGCTACTAATGCCAAAAAAAAAAAAGTTACGGGAAACGTGACTTTCTGCAGGAAAAAAACATTGTCCCGTGGCCCCCGGAGCGTGGCACGGGGTGGGGGGCCAAACTGGGAAACACCTCCTTGTTCTCTGAGCTTCCCAGAGCAGAGTCAGATCTGGCAGGGCAGCCCTGGCCTGGGGCTGGATTGTTAAGTGGCAGAACGGTCTGGCAGGTTGTGCGCTGAACAGGATGGATCCGGCTCTGCCTGCAAGCTGTGGTTGCTGCTGCCAGGTCCTTTCAGTGCTCTTCCCTCCTTTTTAAACGGGTGGGAATGGTGCTCCCCATCCCTAGGAGAGCCGGGGTTGGAAAGCCAGGACGTGCTCTGTAGCACTGAGGTGGGATTTGCTGCACCTTCCTTCCCGGCTACTATGAGATTCCCATCTCACAGCTGTATCTGGGGAGCCCTCAAGCAGCTCCCCCAGTTCTCAGCCCTCTCTCCAGTGCTTCAGTGCCGACCACAAGCCTGGAGCTGCCACGTCCCCATCCCAGGACAGAGCTCCCAGCAGCACGTTACCTGCTCTCTGGGGTTCCTGCTGTCCCATTTTGGCTGCTGGGTTGTGCCAGAGCCTTACTGGCTGCCTAACCCTCCTCTTCCTCTCCCTAATCTTTTATTCTGGGAGGCACCTTCCTGGCCCTCGTCCTGCAGCTGTATATCTTGCCCTCCGCAAGCACACTGCCTCTTTGTGCTTGGGTGTCTGTTTAACTTACAGGGAGCTTAATTATTATTTAACACTTGCACCGTTTAGCTCCCAGCAGGTCAGCACTGCATTGTGCTGGCTGTCATAGAAACACATGTTGAGTAATGATCCTTGCTCCAAAGAGTTAATGGTTTTAATTCCCTGAAATCTGATAGATCTTTGCAGAGGGTAAGGTCCGGGATTGCTACCGGATACTGCAGTGGTTTAGTGGATGTTCTATACTTTGCTTTGGCTTGAGCACAGTTCCTTGTTCCTTTTGTTCTGCTGCTGGCTTTTGGCATCAGGTGAGAACAGATCCTGGTTCATGAGCAGGTGACAGGTCCTGGGGCAAGAGCAGGAAGGTGCAAACAATGACTTCCAAAGACAAGAGTGGCATTTGGATTCCCCTCTGGCATTTGGACTCCCTTCAGTCAGCCCAGGATGCCCGGGAGCAGGGCTGGTGGAGGGGGCAGGCTGGGATTTGTGAGGTGATGCTGCTCTGCTTCCTGTCCCAGCCAGGCTGTTTGTGGCTGTGCCATGCTGTGTGTGGACTGTTTGGAGCTTGGAACTGAAGGAGAGGGAAGGATTTGACAGGAGGCTGAACAGGAGCCAGAGTGTGCCCAGGGGGACAAGAAGGCCAATGGATCCTGGTCTGGCTCAGGAACAGTGTGGCCAACAGGTCCAGGGAAGTGATTCTTCCCCTGCACTCAGCACTGGTGAGGCCACCCCTGGAGTGCTGTGTCCAGTTCTGGGCCCTCAGCTCAGGAAGGACATGGAGGGGCTGGAGCAGGTCCAGAGAAGAGCAACAAGGCTGGGGAAGGGACTGGAGCGCAAGTCCTATGAGGAGAGGCTGAGGGAGCTGGGGCTGTTCAGCCTGGAGAAGAGGAGGCTCAGGGGAGACCTCCTCACTCTCTGCAACTCCCTGACAGGAGGGGGAAGCCAGGTGGGGGTTGGTCTCTTTTCCCAGGCAACTCTCAGCAAGACAAGAGGGCTGGGTCTTAAGCTGTGCCAGGGGAGGTTTAGGTTGGAGATTAGAAAGAATTTCTTTGCAGAGAGGGTGCTCAGCCATTGGAATGGGCTGCCCAGGGAAGGGGTGGATTCTCCATCCCTGGAGGTGTTTAAGGACAGACTGGATGTGGCATCAGTGCCATGGGCTGGGAACCACAGCGGGGTTGGATCAAGGGTTGGACTGGATGATCTCGGAGGTCCCTTCCAACCCAGCTGATTCTGTGATTCTATGATTTCCCAAGGTGAAGCCCGGGCAGTGCCTCTCACCCCCCTCTGCTTGCCTGCAGGTGTGCGGATGGGCAGCTTGGGCCTCTTCCTGCAGTGCATCACCTCCATCTTCTTCTCGACAATCATGGACCGGCTGGTGAAGCAGTTTGGCACCCGGGCAGTGTACCTGGCCAGCGTGGTGTTCTTCCCCGGGGCCGCCTTCGTCATGTGCCTCTCCCACAGCGTCACCGTCGTCACCATCTCCGCGGCCCTCACGGGCTTCACCTTCTCCGCGCTCCAGATCCTGCCCTACACCCTGGCATCCCTCTACCACCACGACAAACAGGTAGGGATCTGCCCCGGCACGGCCACCTGTGGCCAGTCCGGCCCGTGGAAGAGAAACACACGCCTGTATCCGAAGGTTTTCCACCTGTCCCCAAGCTGTGTCTTCTCTGAAGACTCGTCTGAAATGGAGATGAGAGTTTAGCATCTCCCTCCTTAAGGATCCCCTGCTCACCACAAGCATTGTCCATTTTTTAAAAGTGAGGAGTGGGTAAGACAGCAGGAATTAGCCAGGATGGGTGTATCAAAAGGGGTGTTCCCTGTTCCTCTGTGTCCTGCATATTTTTAGGGAAACTGGTTCAGGTTAGCTACCCCTGTGTACATTCCTCAGCCAAGTCACATCTCTGCAGCTCTGCCAGCCTGAGGTGCTATAAAACCCAAGAATTTTTAGCCCTTAGAGGTCCTGCTTTCCAGCTTTTCAGAGCACCAAGATCAGTAAAATGAAAACTGAGGGTCTTCCCATGCCCTCAGCTCCAAGAAAAATCAACCTTGTGAAACTTGTGACACCAACACAAAAGCTCGTAACCCCGTCCCACAGATGCTATCCTTGTGGAGCAGTCCTAGGAGGTTCCTGAGTTGCACACTGGATTAATAGGAGTTTCTCTTGTGCTGCAAATGCAGAATTAATTTGTGGTTTGAGAGCAGCTCTTTCATCCCAGCAGCAGTGGTTGGCTGTGCAGTGGAATAAGTAGGAGTTGTTACCACAGGCATCCAGATGTTCACATTGAACAAATCCTCGGGACCAACCCATCCCAGTTGGCACCAGGCAGTAAGGAGGGGATGAGGGAACGTTCAGCTTTGCAAAAGCTTCAGCTTGGCTGGGATCTCCCATGGATGAATTATCAGTGGAATGAAACCCAAACTCCACAGGCTGGGAATGGGAAGGCCACGTGCCCCACTGTTTGCCAAAGGCTCGACAGGGAAACACTGGGAGTACAAGGAGTGAGGGGCACAGCTGGGGCTGGTCTCTCTGCTGTCATCCCTGGAAGTTCCTCCTTCCTTTACCCACTCCTTTGTGGGAGACCCCACAAGAAGTCCCTAAAAAGCCTTTTTTAGGAAATCCTCCATCTTTCCCATTTCTGTTCTTTTTTTCCCGCTGTTGAAGTCTGTCAGCATTTTGGTTTGGGGTGGTTTGAAAGCCAAGTTCTCACTAAGCCCATTCCTCTATGTTTAAGTAATTTTCTCTAGATATAAATTAATTCTCCTCACTAGATATTCAGACACACCTCCCAAAACTCATATCGCTGAAGTTCTTAGCCTGGATCAGTATAGAAACCAAGAAAATGAGGGACCTCCTGGTTTGGCTCACACAATGCCCTTCCTGTGCTGGGTTTGGAGTTGCTTTGAAGTTTGATGGCAATGGGAGGCCTGTGGGAGGATTTTTAGACTCCAGAAAGATAAGTGACAGCCCATATTGATGCATTTTAAGTGTGCCAAGGCTGCTGAGAGCTTTGGGATGACCTGCAGCAGAGCTGGGGTGCCCACGTCCTGCACCAGTTCCCTCCTCTTGGTCCATGTCCCGGTCCCTCCTGCACAAGGGAGGACAGTTCCCCTCTGAGCCTGCAGTGGGTACAGCTCTCTGATCCCAAACAGGTGCTCTTTTTTTCTCTTTTATTTGCTTTGTTTGTTCAATCTCCATGCAGATAATGGATTGACATGTCCTTGGTTATCTGCCCTACCCCCTGCAGACCAGGGGTTGTGCATAATTGCAAATACTCTGGAGCTTGAAAGCAGCATTTTCCCTGCCTGCACATGACTGCCCATGGTTTGTTGGTGTTAACGTGGAGAGCTTTTCCATCCAAATCTTCTGTGTGCATGCTCTGGAGCCAGCCATGCCCAGAGATCTCACAGCTTGAGCAGAGCCAGGCAAAAAAGGGCGAGAAGAAAAAGATTTTGCTTCCCCACCACCCCCCTTTTCCAGCTGGAGTGAGGAGGCTCAGGGCAGGCCGATGAAGCAACTCTTCAGCTCTGAGGTTTGTTGCAGAGCTGAGAAAAGAGCCCTGCCCTGAGTTCCCAGCACTGTGCCATCCCAGCTGGTGTCACTTTGAAGTGTCCCAGATGAGACTGGCCACTCATCCAGGGCTCTGGGCTGATCATCTGCCCTCTGGGCTCTCGTGCAGGAAGGGTTTGGGCTCCCAGCCACCCACTCTACAAACACTCCTGTTTGCACTGGAGTGGGCTGTGTGGCTGTGTGATATTCCAGAGTGGACTCTGGCCCTTCACTCCTGCCCTGCTTCAGGTGATCTCAGGACGGGGTGAGCCCAGCTCCCCTTGGCACCCACTGAGGAGGTGACAACCAGCACGAATTGTGCCCAGGCAGAGCCCAGGCTGGCTTTGGGCTGCAGCAGCCTGCTGAGCCCCAGAGCTTCAGCACAGCAAAGGCCCCACTTGGCCAGGTTCCCCCGGTGAGTCAGGGCTGCTTTGAACCCCGTGCCAGTCAGAAAAAGCCATCCTGGCTCCTGGAGGCCACCTCGTGTGGGCCAGGCTCAGGCTGGCACTCCCCACCCCAACAACGCACAGAGCCACACTGGTTTTGCTGCCTCACCCAAAACCCAGGGTCCCTCTGCCCCCCAACCTCGCTCCATCCTCACGTGCCTCCTTCCTCCCCGTAGGTGTTTTTGCATAAATACAAGAGCAAAGAGGAGGAAGACGCAGCTCTACTGGACAAGAAATCAGCCTTCTCTAAAGGCCTCCTCTCCAGCCAGAAGCTGCCTTACCAGAACGGCCACACTGGGAGCCTCTTCTCCTCCTCCTCCTCCTCCCCTTCGTCCCCTCCTGCCGCCCCCAGCTCCGCTCTCTGCGTCAGCTCCTCCTGCGACGTCTCGCTCATGATGATGGTGGGGGAGCCGGACCCGGCGGCCCCCGGCAGGGGGATCTGCCTGGACCTGGCCATCCTGGACAGCGCCTTCCTGCTCTCTCAGGTCGTGCCCTCCCTCTTCATGGGCTCCATCGTGCAGTTCACGCAGTCGGTCACCGCCTACATGGTGTCGGCCGCCGGCTTCGGCCTGGTCGCCATTTACTTCGCCACCAAAGTCGTCTTTGACAAGAGCGACATGGCCAAGTACTCCGTGTGACGTGGGGGGCACGTGGGGGGCCCTGCACGTGGTGAGATGAGGGGGGTGTGTGTGTGTGTGCCCACAGGGCCACTCGTGGGGAGCCTCGTGTGGCACCCGCCGTCCCCGAGCTGTCGCTGCGGCCCCGGGGGTGGTTCTGGGGCCGGGGGCAGGACGGGGCTAATCTCAGGTGTAAATATGAGCCATCAGGGCATTGTGCTTGGGGCCAGCAGTGCTTTCCAGAGGTGCCTTTAGCAAAAGGGAGCACGGCACAGGCAGCACCAAAGGGGTTGTGGCAGGGAGAGGGAGGAACTGGACTTTCCCTCTAATAACAGGTCGTGTCTGTGAGCAGGAGCAGCAGCTGGGTCCAAGGAGGGGATAAATCATTGCCCCTCCTGTTCTCAGCTCACAGCTGTATCCTTCTCCCCCTGCCTGTGGTAGTTTTACCCAACTTCTTGAGCAATACTTGGGCAAATGGGACAGTGGGAGGAGATTTCCTTGGGGAAAAAAAAAAAAAAACAGATAGGTGGTGAAAGTTTGGCCACGGAGCCAAGGGGGTGCACTCAGGTGCACAAACACTTCTGTCCTTCCCCACCTCGGCTCTGGCTGGGAGAAACCATCCAGGAGAAAAGTCACTACATCTTGTTTTGGAAAAACAAGTAACGTTCCACTAGGACCAGTTCCAAAAGGTGACTTACCTTTTACCTATGTACCAGGTTGCATCAGATACAAAAGACTTCTGAGCTTTTTTTTTTTTTTTAATGATTGTTTTTAGCTTTCTTCACACAGTTCTCAGCAACTCTGACCTCTCACCCCTCCCCTCAGTGCCTGGACCTGCCTCCTGCTCTCTCCCCTAAAAGCTCCAGCCTGTTGTGCCTCTTCCACACCTGGCCCCTAAAAGATGCTGCTGTACACAAGGGAAATATTCTCAGAGGGTTTTCAGTCCTGTGACAGCGAAGTAGAACAGGAAGAGCTCTCCTGCAAGGCTACCTGGGAACAGGTGTGCCAGGCCTGGGGATGCTGAAGGAATGAGGAGTTGAACTCAGGATTGGTCTCTGCTGCAGTGGGTATGTGGAGCTATCACTGCCTGTGGCTGTTTGGGTTTTCCTAAAAATTATTTTATTTCCAGACAGGACTCCAGATTCTCCTGAGGCAGAGCAAAAACCCAGTTACCTGTCAGAGTAAGGCAAAGCACCTTGTGCTGGGACCAAATCCTCCTGGGTTTTCCAGGCTGTTTGGCTCCCAGCTCTGAGGAATCTCCCACTGGCAGCAGAGTGGCTGCAGCTGTGAGTCCTTCTGGCCAGTCCCATTCCCCCATCCGAGCGGAGCAGCTGGAATAATTCTGCTGATGGCAGGTTTCTACCACTCAAGGACTACCCACACACCAAGCAGGAGGCGAGGTCCTGGCCCCCAGTCAGCGCTTGGGCTTTGGAACGATCCAAACTCTGTGACAGTGCGGAGAGGGGAGGCTGAGCTGGTCCTGCCAGCGCACAAAAAGTCCTTGACTTCGGCTGGGCCAGACAAGCTGTTTGTGAGTAATTTTCTGTGGAGGTGTGTGGGCAGCGAGATGCACTTGTGAGGTTCGGCTGAAGGGCAAAATGTTGCTATTTTGGCAGAGTCTTGTCAGCCTGTTCCTTGGCACAGAGGGCTGGGTGACTCCCCTGCCGTCTGAGACGGGCCCTCAGAGGGGCTGCTCAGCTCTTTAAAAGCTTCTTTCCCGTCAGGGGTCACTGTTTTTGTGTTACTCCTTCTCAAATTATATGCCTGCCAGCCTCCCTTTCCCACAACAAGGTTTGTGTGCTGAAATGCAGCTGTTTTGGGGATGGATTTGGCAGTTGCTTAACCACTTACGGAAACAGTTTTGGGTCTGTACTTCCCACCCTGGGCTCCGGCCACTGCAGGCTGGAGCAGGAAAGGCTTTGGGGCAAAATGTTGCTGCCAAAGCTGGGGTGTTTCTTGAATGAACGATTTTTCAAGCAGGTGTGCTGAAGAATCCTTTATTTTTATTTTTTTCCTAGGTAAAATGTGGGGAACCTTCACACGTGGAGGCTTTTGGGGTGGTCAAGTGCTTTTGATAATTGAGCCATTTGTTTAAGTGCCTAAAGTGCTTGCACACCAAGCTTGAGGTGCATGGGTTTGGTGATAAGGGCCTTAAATGCTTCATTACAGACACCCAAGTGATAAAGCAGAGGGTTAGAGGGGCAGACAGCTGGGTTTTAGACAAGAGATCAGGGTGAGAGAGCAGGAGGAAGAGGGGGTGCAGGGAAAATTGGATGTTGTAGCTATGGGAGGGACTGGTGTGGGGCACTGGCTGCAACTGGGCTGCCCTGTGGTGGGTGGGAGCCCCTCTTTGTGGCCTCACACTGTCCATAAAACCCTTCAAACCCCTTCATCCTTGCAAGTTGTGCCAGCACAACCCCAGCCACGTCCAAGAGCTGGCTGGGTAGGCTGAGCTCAGGTTTGAGCTGGGCTCTCCCAGCTGCCTTCCCAAAGCCCAGGGGATGTTGCTGTCACCCCAACAGCCCTGTCCGCGTGCTGTGGGTACCAAAAGCCTTTTCTCCCTGGTTCAAGGAGGCATTTTTCCCGAAATTCCTTTATTTATAAGATTGGCCTTTCTGGCTTCTGCCGGGAGCAGCTTCTCTGTGGGGATCACACGTGGCCCACAAGAGAAGTTCTAGTGAAGGTAAGAACATCCCTTTCCTGCTGTTACTGGTGTTGCCTGTGAGAACACAGGGTTCTCGTGCTGTGGGACCACAGGTTTGGGTACAAACTCCTTGGAGGTGGAGACGTGGAACTTTCCTCTCCCAGCTCGTGGGTGCACTGCTGTGTTCCTCTCACAGGCTAATCCTGCCTCACCTTTTGTGCCATGGGGGATTTTGAGTGTGGACACGGGGAGGAGGGAGGGTGTTCCTGTGAGCCTGTTGTGAATCTCTAGGTTAGGGAAGGATGGATGGATGGATGGATGCTGGTTTTCCTGTTGAGATCATCCCCTGTCCGTGAGACGTCCGTGTTTTATTTATTCGGTAGAGTAAATATTTTGTATACGACGCGAGAGGAAGGCTTTTATTATAAATTTCTATGAGAAAAGGAGGAAATAAAAAGGCGTTTAAAGGGGCCGATGGTGTGTTTGTTGTGGCCGCTGGGGGGCGCCACCAGCGCGGCGGCGAGGGGCGGGATCGGGGGCGTGGTCTGTGTTGGGGGCGTGGACTGTGTTGGGGGCGTGGACTGTGTTGGGGCGTGGTCAGCGATGAAGGGGCGGGGATAACAACTAAGGAGGCGTGGCTAGAGACGGAGGGGCAGGGTTGTGGGTTGGGTTTGTGACTGAGGGGCGGGGCCAAAGGCGGGGCCAGTGACGAGTGGGAGAGGCCGGTGTCTGGGGGCGTGGTCACGGAACAAGGGGCGGGCCCAAGGCAGAGTCATTGATGGGGTGGGGGAATGGGCGTGACCACAAGCCGGGGGCGTGGTCAGTGGGACTGAGGGGCGGGGTCTGTGCTGTGGGCGTGGCCGTCCCGGGGGTGCGGGCGGGATGCGGGGCTGGGATGGGCTGAAGGGCTGGGATTTGGGGTCCGGGGAGGGGCTCCGAGCGCCGCCGGGGGTTCGCCGGGGAAGGGACGGGCTCTCCCGCACCTCCTCCCCCCGCACAGCCGCCCGCCGTTCCCGGTGAACATCCCGCTCTCTCCGCCAGGTGCTGTGCAAACCCCGCGCGGGAGTTTCTCCCTGTTCGTTATCCCCGGGGATTTTTTGGGTAAAGCGCAGCCCTTCGCGTTTCGGCCCTGCAGCATCTCAGTAGGAAGCACCGAAGGATTTTGAGGAGCTGAGATCCTCCCAGTCCTCCTTTAATACTTAAATAAGTATTATTAATTATTAACAATTTTTTAATACTTAAATAAGTATTTAATACTTTAATAAGTATTGTCAGCAGTAACATTAAGGGCTGTGAAGCTGGGACACGAGGTAAGTGACACCCTGAGGCACAGCAGCGATCAGAGGAACAGCCGTGGAGTGACCTTGCCGTGCACCTTCATTGCTGGATTGGTTTTTTGGTTTGTATTTGTTTGGGTTTTTTCCAACTTTGAAGCCTTGCTCTGGCCCCAGGCATTTTGTTCAGGCCCAAAATCTCATGCTCCTCACAAAGCAGAGGTAACTCTGTGCCTTGGCTTCACGGGGCTTGTTGGGGTACATGAGAACCACAGAATCACAGATCCCAGGGGCGGCTCCCAGATGTCCCGTGAGTCCACTCACGGAATCATTAGGATTGGAAGGGACCTCTGGAGAACACCCAGTCCAACCCCCCTGCCCAGGCAGGGTCACCCGGAGCAGGTGACACAGGAACCCATCCAGGTGGGTTTGGAATGTCTCCAGAGAGGGAGATTCCACACCCTTTCTGGGCAGCTGTTCCAATTCTCCGTGGAAAGGTTTTCTTCCTTGTGTTGACGTGGAACTTGTGTTTTAGTTTATGGCTGTTGCTCCTTGTCCTGCCACTGGGCACCACTGAGCAGAGCCTGGCACCATCCTGACACCCCCTGGAGATATTTGTATGGATTGACGAGATCCCCTCTCAAGTCTTTGCGGTATTTTAGAGGGGCTCAGCCCACCCTGTCAAAGGCAGCCCAAGGCCATCCTTAGGGACTCCCTCAGGAGCCCACAAACCTGCAACCACACAAGGACAGACCTCACACACCTTACCCGAACCCTACAGCCCCGCCAAAACTGTTCCTCCTGAAAGAACACCTGTATCCCGCTGGATGCCAGCGGGAACCGTCGCCGCCGCTGCCTGCTGGGACTCGAACTTCTTTTCCAGAAATGTTGGAGAAACCTGGACCGTTTCCAGTATAAATTAACAGGGGAAGGAAACCACGGCGAGCTGCGGGATCTCCTCCGGGAGCAGCTCCAGCCGCCCCGGGCAGGGACAGAGCGGGGACACCCCGAGCCCCCGGTGCCCCTCCCGGGGCGGGTGTTCCCGTGCCAATGGGATCGGCGGCCGGAGCCGAGCCCTCTGCGGGGCGGGGCGGGCCGGGAGCCGCCCCCGCCGGGAGCTGCGGGACCCGCATGGACCGAGCCGGGTAAGGGGCGCGGGGGGCGCGGGGGGTCCCGCCCTGCAGCGCTCCCGGGGGGCACGGCCGGGGCCGGGGTGGGCTTCGCTCCCTCGGGGATGAAGCGAGTGGCACAACCAGCCTGGGCGTCCCCGGCCCTGGGGGTTTCCCGGGGGCTTCCATCCCCGCCCAGGATGCCCCCGGGTGGGGTTGGGGGCTGCAGCGGGAGCAGACCCCGCTCCCGCTCGCTCGTCCCCGGGCATCGCTTCATCGCGGCGGGGTCGCACCGGCCGCACGTGGCCCCGGCGGTGGCCGTGTGGCCGCCGCTGTCCCCGCGTGTGGCACCCGGGCAGGTCACGGGCGTTCGCTCACGTTGCTCGGTCACGGGAGCGGAGCCCTGACCCTCGGCTGCGTTCCCAGCTCCTGCCTGTTGGCCGACCTTGGGCGAAATCGCTTTTTCTCCGTGTGCTCAGGCTGCACATCTGCTGCTTTCAGACGGCACTCGAGTGCTTCTCAGGGGGGTTGAACAACTGTAGGAGTGGAAGTGCAAAGAGAAGCTCGAGAGCCTTGCAGTGCGACCAGAGGGCCACCCAGGGCTCCGTTCTCTTGCAGTAGCTTTGGGGTGACAGCACCGTTGGCATTTTGCAAAATTGCCTTGGGTTGAGAAGGCGCTGACACCTGCAACAGGTACCCACTGAGTGTGTTGGCACAGAACATGCCACCGGGTAACACATTTCCCCCTGTCACTGCTCTGCCGGGTGGGGCATCACTAATTGCCCCCACTCAGATGGGAAAATGAGGATCAGAGCACTCCAAGGCTGCATGAGAAATCTGCAGCAGAGCTGGAGATCCTGCTCAGATCTCAGTCCTGAGCCAGCAGTTCAACCACCAGCCCTTCCTGCCCTCTGGTCGTGCTTTTATTCCTGTTGTCGGTTCAACAGAAGGGTTGTTCCACACGAGGCTCCCCAGCTAAGGAGTTTATAGTGCAATTCAGTTGTCCTGGGGACGTGCTGGAGGGATGGAGACTTCCTGAGCTGCTCTGCAAGGAGACCTGGTTGGAAAATCAGGTTTTAAGACCTTCTGGAAGAGGTAAACAGAAGTGTTTGGTAGCCAGAGGGGGGGAGGCTTTCCCTGCAGAAAGAGAAGCAGAGACCAGAGATCATAAAACTGGAGTGGAGGAAGGAGTGGAGTTGGGTGCTGCCTTGAAGGGGATGGTTCAGAGCAGGAATTTGTGTTGTGCTGAAAATTTGAAGCCTGAAGGCTGAGATTGGCCCAGACACCTTCCTTACCTGGTGTGTGAGCAGGGGCAGCCTCTGCTCACCACGAGTTGCTGATGCAGAGCTGTGAGATGCTGAGGGCAGTGCTGCAAATGCCCCCTGAGCAACGTGGCACCTTGCTCTGGGCAGGTTTCAAACGATGTGGGGGTTATTTTTTTAAGAGTAAGAGCATTTATATCACATCCAGACTGCTTCTCAAAAATTCCCTCTCCCAGCTCTGAGAGCACTGATAACCAGGACTGGCTTGACTGGTTTGCAGCTCTGCAGAAATCTCGTGGACTTGCTCTGGAAAAGGGACTTGGACATAGGTTTTCCTTCCCTTGGAAGCAGGATTTCTGTGTTAAATGTGAATAGCTCCTGATGCCTCGGGCGGTTTGGGTGCTCTGGAGCAGGATGCAGCCTCCAAGCTGACATCTCACAGGAGCAGGGATGGTGTGTGGCTGCTCTGAGGGTGCTTGGGCACCTCACTCACAACCCCCTGAGCCACAGCAGGGCCTGGGGGGGTCTGAGGTGTTGACTCGTGGGAGACCAGTCACCTCTGGAGAGCACACAGGTCTGACCTGGCGACACTGTGCTCCTTCTCCCGTGGTGTTTGTGTCCTCAGGGGCCCTGGGAGCTGACCCCAGACAGGCTGGCTGTGCTGCTCTCCGGAGGTGTGACCGAGTTTGGGCAGACCTGCCCCAACAGGGTCCCTCCCAGCTGACTTGTTCAGGCACTGCTGGCCCTGGACCCACAGAGTGGGTGAACACTCACCAGGGCCGCGGGCACTTTGGCAGCAGCACCCTCCGAGCTGTCTGGTTACCTGTGCAGGTAGTGAGCTCGGATCCAGCCAGGCCAGGTCTGTGTCAGGGTGTGGTTGCACCACATTTGCAGTGTGGAGAAGCCAGCCCCCTCTCCTGGATCACAATTAACTCGTGGTTGTAAGCCCCAAGTCATCCCCTCCACCACCCAGCAGTGCATAGCTGCCCTCCAGCGTAGGTGGAAGAGGGATGAAGGGTTTCATTGTGTATTTTTACCTTCATAAACTCCCCAGAGAAGTTTGCTTCTGGGGGGAAATCTGGCTCTTTGCAGCCTGCTGGCACCCTGGAGAGGAAAGTGGTTAGCATGTGGGGTTTTTTTTTGAGCAACAGACTCTTTAAAAACAAAGGCCACTGACTAGTTCTGATGTTTTCTTTTTCACGCACAGTCCATTTTATTCAAAGGGTTTTCATGTTTGCTTTTTGAATTTGGAAATAACCTTGGTGGTGTTCCCTTGCAGATGAACAAAGACTTCCCCAGCTGAGCTATTCCAGAGGCTCCTGAGCTGCCTGTGGGTAGTGAGTCAACAAATGGTCTCTGTGAGCTGCCAGGAGCTGCTGCCCTCCTTGACCAGCCTCGAGAGCTTGACCAGTGCTCTGCAGTGCAGGATGCCACCGTCCCTTCTGCCAGGACATGGCAGTGAGAGGACATCTGGCCCCCCAGAGGGCTTTGGCCACCTCCTGGCAGGCAGCACTAGCCCCGCTGAAGGCGTCCTGCTGTCCAAGGGGGAACAGCCCAAAGCCCAGCTCGCCGTCTGCGAGGCTCAGCTCAGGCTGCCCGACTTCTGCAGCAGCCTCTCCCAGGACTTCATCCCCACCCTGGAGGAGATCGAGGAGTTCCTGAGGGAGAAGGCAGAGTTCCTCAGAGATGAAGGAGGAGGGAGGGACATCAAACCCGAGGTCAGCTCGGGTGGCTCTGGGGAACAGCCCGTCTCCGGTGTGCAGGGAGATGCCTCAAGCACTGCTCAGCCTGGAGGGACAGCTGATGGTGGGGACCAGGCAGTGGCTGCTCAGAGCATCCCTG